CCGGTTACGTTACCCACGGCATTGTCAGCAGAGTCATCCTAAATTACCTCCTGTCATTTTTACTCTGTTTATGACTAAGTGCACTGATTTACGTTTTCAGCAGCAATTTTTGAAGCGAAAGTGTCTGGAAGACTGGTCCCTAACGCAACGAGGGTAATGGCAGTGATAGCGTCTTTCATTCCGACCATACAACCAAAAATGGATGCGAAGTCACCTAAAACATAATTACGGGCCTTATCGACCATCAAATGAAAGAAAAAACTAACCAACGATGGCCGTAAGGAGACCGATGAGTGCTAAAGCAACAAAGAAGCACAGCCATCCACCGAGCATGCTAGGAGGAGGAACGAAGCAGAAAATGAACTGAAACAAGCATTTTGATATTTAGGCAAAAAAATACTTGAAGAGAATTCTGAAAAATTTCTGTCGTTCCTGTATTCCAGGGATTAAAGTTAGGAAAATGGTAAGTTAGCTCGTTTATTATTATTAAGGCTTGAACCTCCTCCCCTCAAATTTGTAGAAAAAAAGGAATTGCTGTCGAAATTGTTTCCCAATATTTCAGGGATTAAAGTCGGGAAAATGGTAAGTTAGTTCTGAAATTATTATAATTATTTCTAATACCAAAGGCTGAAACTCTGCATATCATCTTTGAGAAGATCTTGATATCAAAACGAAAAAACGTGAATAAACTGGCATCACTGCTCTTCCTGTAAAGATTCTTACATTAAAAGTAGACGAATGAAGTTGTTTTACTTCCAAATTTTAGCAACTTTTCAGTACTTCATGGGATATTGAGTTTTGCCATTTTTACACAATTTCTTTCCTCCTCTTTTAGAACCTCAAGGTACTGTAAATTGAGAAGAATTGCCTTACCTTCCATGGAAACGCTAATCCGTGCTTTATACAATCGCCAAGGGTGGCATGCTCTATATCGCCAGCATCTACAGATACGGCCGAGCGAATCTGAAATCACTTCATTCAAAAAATATTCCTCTGACGAATCAGTGTAGTTTACTTGGTCCATCCATGACGCGCTATATGGTGAAAGCTTGTCCATGTAATGCCCCATAAGTTTGTGGACATTTACGATGTTCATTAGAGCATTGTCGTCTGATACGATGGTGACTAGTGCACGACGTTTGCCGCCGAGTGTCGCTTCTAAATTATATTTATCATTATCAGTCAGTCAAAAAATGTAAAATTTCAAGCAAATTTTTCAGATTTACGGCAGAATATGGGCGTTCAAACGGTATGCTACAGTAATAACCGCAGTAGAAAATCGATTATTGATTGATTTCGCAACTTTTCTAGACTCACCACTGTCTTCCAGTGATGTCAGCTCAACATTGAAGGTCTCATCTTTTTCGTCCTGTTTGTCATCGATGATCTCTATGTCGATGTACTTTTCGTATTCCTAAAATACGCTACTCTCAAACTGAAGGATTTGTTAATTACTAGGTGAGCAAAGCATTCACCTGTCCAACAAATCTCAGCGTACTACTCGTTTTCACGTAATCATGTCCGGCCTGTGCAGTGACGTCCGAAGTCTCGTAATGCACGACGCTGTCGCCACGATGTTTCTTGCCTCTTCTGGTGACATACAAACGAGTCCAGCCCACATTTTCTTTGGCTACCTCA